AGAAAAATGAAAATGAGAATTATATTGTAACACTAATTTAATATTTTTTAATTATTTATTTATACAGATGAATGTAGAAGATGAAGATAGCCAGGATTTAAATAATCCTATGGTCAATGATTTAGTGTCAAAAATTCTTGATGATGATTCAATTGTTGGTGACAATGTTCACAGTAATAGTTATAATGGCAATATGCAATATCATTCAGATACTCAGTCCTGTATCATGGAGAATAAAATGGAGAATAATATAGATCCTAGTCTTACTACTATGGATCGTTTTAATATGCATTCAACGTTTAACAAACTACAGAATAATGTTTCAAATAATGTTAAACTTGAGTGTAGTTATAACAATTTCTGTGGAGAATTCAAAACATTGAGCCTCAATACATGTGCAGGGCAAGTACCAGATCAAGGAAATTTATACAATAATGGGGTTGGTGTATATTCAAATACATATCCACCTAATTCACAATCATATGTATTACGTCCAAATGGTGAAAATTGCTGTGTTAGTGGAAGTACTATGCCTCTGTGCAATGATTTATTAACAACAACAAATGAGACAAATGCAAGTAAACAGTCTGCTAACTGGACAGAAAATTTGTCAACACCAGGGTGTACACCAGATTTATTTGGAAATTATCAACGAATACAAAATTGCACAAACCCAGATCTTAATTTCAATATGGCTCTAACATTGGCACTAGATTCTCCAGATCCTATTACTCTAAATGAACTGGAGTATCATAATAATATTGGACAAAATGGAACTGCTAATACATATAATCCTACACCTTCTATGCATGAATTATACAGCATGACTGCCAATAATCAAAGTTATAGACCAAGTTCAGCAATGACTGATTTGAGTATTGATTCTGGCTTTCTTTCAAATTCTCCATTACAACATTTTTCTCCAGCTGATACAAATTTGCATAATTGTTTTGGGAGTAATATACAACGCAGTAATGCTAATGATTATAAAGATTTACATGATTCAAGTAGATTAAGCATGGCAAATATCTCCATACCAAATGAGCAACTTCAATTTTTGCAACAAGCTCGTAGCTACAAATTAAATCAAGCTGTGGACCAAGAATATAAACAACTAATCGATTATTATCCAAGTGTAAGCGACTTCTCCACATCATCGATCAATAGTTTAGACACAAACGAAAATTGTCTTACCAATAATGATTATAGAATCGATAACAATTTATTGAAAATTATCAGTCCAAAATCAAAGACTATTGAAACTAAAACATATTCGCCCATTGGATTTCCGAAAAATCTAAGTTCACGTAACACCCATCAGTCAATTGCTAAATATGGATATCACAATTATCAACATTACACTGCCAATAACGGCGAGACTTTAAAAATGTTACCACAGAGTTCCACATCTTATCATGACATGAAACAGCCTAATAATACTAATACATATAAGATGGAAGGATTTGATCTTACCAAAGAAATAGCTTTTCCTTCTGTAAGTCACTTGACCAATCAAATCGCAGGGTCTTCAATGAATAAGGATACTTTTAATTACCTTATGAAACAACGACATCATATGCCAAGAATACCGAATAGTCCTGGTATTCCATCTGCTGATGTCCTTTTCAATTCAGGAATAGTACCAAATCCAAGTTCAGTAAGGTCTGGAGTATTTCCACCAGTGATGCCAGTTCCTGTACCGCTTCCAGTTCCGCGTCTATTTTCTGTACTCTATGGTGGAGGTTTAAGCCTTAGAAATGGAAGTGGAGCAGCTAGACGTACAGCACCTTCAAGTATATTGCACTTCAGGCTAGAACAAACTTATGAACAGTTCAAACAATTAGAAAAAGAACGAAAGAAATGTGAAGCAGGTTTAGCTGCTCATTTCCCTGGTAAAAGAGTAACAAGTGCAAACAATATACCCATTCCTCGCCTTCAAGGAAACCCATCACGTGTCGATCGCTTAATTATTGACTATTTGAGAGAACATGCACGTGTCATAACTTTAATTGCAAAGGTAATTATCGAATTTTCTCTTTTTTTGTTGATATAAAGAAATAATACGAAACGTTTGTTAAATAGATGGAACGTTTGCGAGAGACCACTATGAATCAACGTGTACATAAAGCTATGGAGTACTGGTTAGAAGCAATAAAATTTGTCCAAGAATGCCGTAAACGAGAAATTGCAAATGCTACTAAACGTCAGAAGGAGAATCCGCCGTGTATTCTCGTATACAACGATAATGGTATGTTTTTACACATGCGAGTACATGTATTAATAATAATAAAGCAAAAAATTCTTACTTACAAATCCATTGTCCTTTATCTGGTTTTAAAGTTTGCAAACATTCAAAAATGATTATTTATCGTTTCGAAATGTAAGTTTATAATTAAACTAGTGATAACGAAAACTCATTGAAATTTTCGATTTATGTTGACAGATATATTAACGTTGGCTGCCAGTGTCTACGAATTGACGAAGGCATCCCGATTTGCAAGGACTGGTATGTATAACGCATTACAAGCTACACTACTGTATGACTTGGACATAGAAAAGAAAGTCGTTGAAACTTCTAAAGATCCAGTTCTTGTGATAAAACGTAATGAAAGTCAAGTAGTAAGTGATGTTGGTGATTATTCAAACTGTACCTAGCAAGATTTTGAAAACTACTTTTCCATTTCGTGTGACAAAACATAGATTGAATCCAGCAGCTTTTTACTTACGTATTTCGCGTTACGTTACTGAAAAGCTTTTGCTGGCGTTTATCATAATTTTATCGCTGAGACAAAACAATGCCGCCCACTAATTGCGAAATTTTCAAAGCATCATATGGAAAAGTACGCGTACTCACGCCGAAATAGAAAAATCGTATGCGTGTCTACTTTTTACAAGTTAATAGTGACTCCATAGTTTTCTACTGTACATATTTTTATCCCTATTACAGTATAATCTTGGAAGTGTCAGTTCTGGTATTCAATACTTGTGATCCAATTGTCTATCGTATATCGCACTTTCAAGTGATTTTGCTTGTTCTTCGCTAACAACAGACTAATGAAAAGGAAACTTACGAACGTCGACATTTTTATCTTTGGGTACATTGTCTTGCATATTTCATAATACCAAAGATAATCGTTTCAAATTCATTGAGGATCCGATACTCGCAGAAAGGAAAACGAAGAACAAAATTGTGCTCAGACCTACTAAAAGAAATAAAACAAAATACAAAAAAGAAAAAAAAAAGAAAAACGGAACGTTCGCAAGAATTTCCAACTATTACTCGTTTGCGTATGTGTCATAGGCTAGATAATATAGGCTAAATTTTACCAATATATTTGTTCAGAGTGCTAGGCAGTAATTTCTTAGACTAGTTCAATGTGGCCTTCCTTAAATGTGTGACCCAAGATGTGTGTCAGGTAGTCAAAGTACATCTCGAGAAACTTCGAATATTTCGAAAAAACTCTAGATAGGATGCGGCAACTTAATCGCCGCACGATCGTGTGAGTTTTTCAATCTGTGAAATATGTGTAGCCTTTGATCTGACTCTGTATACATATATGTACGATGTATATCGGATGTATGTATATATATGTATGCAACGCAAATGATGTCCACAATACTACACATAAATCTTTGTTAAAAGAGAGAACTTTCCTAACGCATACTCGCTACACGCATACACAAAAGCGTGCTCTGGCGTAACATTTACGCACAGCACATAGTCGCATTACGTTTAATGTAAAATAGATACAAAATATTCGTGTATATAATTACACACATATACGTGAAACATTAAGAATACATATACATGTCTATGTGTGTGCGTGTATGTATGTACACAATAGATTTATGTGCATGTACGTACAGCATATATAAGGTATATAGAGAATTTTTAACGTGCGTACGCGAAACACACATAAAACTATTCCTACATACTTATACATATACATTTTAGGCAAATTGATTAGTTCTACAATGGCCGACTTGCAAAGTTCAGCATTTCCTTTACTCAATTTTCGAGTAAGCTCTTTCACACAATGACTATTACTAGGCTCAAGAATTTTAACGTTCCAACGTACGTACGTACGTACGATTGTACGAATCTGTTTTATTATAATTTAATCCGCGATAGAGTCGCGCAGTTCGAGTACCATGGAGGTATCGAACATCGTTTCGTTCTATAATACGTTCTTCAGTGGTTTGAACTATGAAACTATAAACACAGGTATTCGCACAACGATGAACGGGGGTATTTCGCGTTAAAAAAAAAAAAGAAAAACAAAACAAATACGTGAATCTAATATAAAGTCCATCGTGCAGGGATGACGAGACAAAACAAAACATATAGGTGCAACATTTTTGCTATCTCGAGGTCTAATTTTCTTAATATCTAAGCTGAATCGATCGGCCTTATTATCACTAGAAATGCTCGTAAATCGGTTGTCGATTATCGAATATTGGTGAAGCTTTAATATAATCATCTCTGTATATATCCGTCAACTTCCATCTGAACTGCATTGTATGTGGTGATTTCCAACGATAAAAAGAAAAGAAACGAGGAATGGAAAGGGTGTGTCGGTTTAATTCCTCGATACTTCTATATCAATCTTAGGCGAGACGTTAGTAGCGAAGTATTTAATTTAGAGTAATAATGATACGGTGTTATGTATACAATTTCCTTGGCTGTCTTTGCCGCCGATCGTCGTCACATCAACGAATAAACGAATCTTTCAGATTTTCGGCTACATTGTTCCTGTATAGTTGACGCGTTTTTTCAAACTTGTTAAAACCTTATGGAAAGTTTTATATCGATATTATATATACATATATATATATACATATTTCTCCCTTACTTCATCATTTTATCGATTATACCTGTTCGTACTTAAAGAAAAACAAAAAAACAAAAAAACAAACGTGATTTACTTTTGGTAATTAGTTCGATCGTTTTGTGAACGAACGTGTTTTCGGAGAAGTCGGAATCGTCAATAAGGGAGAAATAAAATTTGTTAACTCTAGGCGTAGAATGGATGTTTCAGGCGACAAAATTATATTCACATCGTTACTCTTCGTGAAAAGGAATAAGTGTCACGTCTTCGTATTTATCGTATCGATTTAAACGCTTCAGACGAGCGAAAGCAATTTATTGCTCGGCCGCAAAGACAACGCCGTACGGAAAATGGCCCCGGTACTATCCAGTCTTGCAGAAGATGCAAGATATACATACAGACTGTTAACTCGCTTTTACATAGCGCTTACATAATCATTGGGGACCATGTCGAGCATCGTCTCCGTGTATATCAATTGTATCTATTAGGACACCTCATTTTCATTAACGCGAAGGAACATTTTTGCATTTCTTCGCGACCACTTCTTCTTTCGTTTCTCATTTTTCGTTTATCTCTGTTCTGCCTAATTTCAAAGGTGTGTGCAGTGCTTTGTTTTAAT